CAAGGCCAATTGTGAGATATATCCCCTCTTTCACCCTAACACAGCTTAAGTCTAAGTTATTCCAACACCATCAGAACACCAAGGCCAATTGTGAGGTATATCCCCTCTTTCACCCTCCTTTTGTCTTGAGAGTATGCTCGACAGGCCTGAAATAGTATAGATTCTGCTCACTTCCCCCTTTTTTTCCATGTGCTTCTTTTGTTTCTGTGACTCTGTTTTCTTCCGTATTTTGGAGGGGGAAACAATGCCTAAAGCAATAGTTCGCTTTTCAGCCTCAGTTTTCCTAGCTACTATAGCTACGTAGCTTACTGGGTGACACACCATCCCCTTTATATTATCTGGTATTGCCATCAATACATCCGGTTCTGGCATTTCTTTTAGATGTAATTTAACCTCTGCTATTTTCTCTTCCTTAGTGTCTTTAATTACATCTTGCATCTGGTCAAGATAATAATTTACCTGCGTAAATTCTTTCAACACTGTCATTTGAAAGGAGATTTTCCACTCTAGCCATTGATCTCTGATTTTCCCAGGGAGAGGTTCCATTTTTCCAGTATATCTGATCTATATATACAAAATACTCTTCAGTTTCCACTATTTTATCCCTCACTTGGAATTCCCTCTCCCCTTTGCCCAAATATACATAATGTATAGATCAACGTCGAGTCCAATATTTCACATTACAACTATTACAATGTTAACAGTAAAATAGCAGGCACACTCAAACAAGAAATGGAATTTAAAACATGAATCTCTCAAGTGTCTTTGTAGTCCAATCCCTTTTCTCATCACCAACCTCCAGACCGGTTGTTTCTTCTTTTCTCTTCTCAAAGTTTATTGTTACCTTCACCCGGCAAGACTGTATTTTCAGAGTGTCATTTATCAAAATACTCAGTTCAGTTCAAGCCATATGGCTCTCAGTCTGTTTTTCTTTTTCTTTTTTTTACTTCCAAAGGCTTCTTTCTCCTCCCCCAAAAAAGGGAGGTCCAGCAATCCAAGTCCCAGCAAATGTATTATCCACAGAAAACAGAGTCCCACAAAGTCTAAGAATATACTGTATATCCAAAAGGAGAAAAGGTCCAAAGTGAACAGCTTACAGCAGAATTTATTCTTTCAAAGCCTGTCCAGTGTTAATTCTCCAGGAGTTTTTTTTCTTTAATAGAGACACGAGCTATTTCTGCCTGACTGTTCCCTTAAATCAGCTCGACCTTGAATCAGCTAAATATGTCGCTCCTTATCTCATTTCGGTCATAAATTTTCACACATTCACTTGTTCTTCATTTTAATGGAGTTTTTCATAGAACAAGGGCTTCCACTTACTTTGTTATATATTTTCGCCGTGCTTCTTGTTCTCTTATTCTCGGCGAACGGAGCTGTCTTGGCTGATTGCCAAAAATGGTGCCCGTCTTTGGTCCGTGCTTATGTGAATTTCCAGAAGAAAGAAAAATCGAGTTGCTGCCCAATCTTCTAGCTTCTGTAGCTCACCAACTGCTGCAGAAGGGTCTCTCCTGACCCTCCCTCGGTTCCCCCATTTCTAGGGGGATCCCAGACCAAAGTGGTTCTAGCTTCTCCGGGAGCTGTTCCCAAGAGCTGCTAGCTTCACCAGGACGGACCTGCTTGACATTTCTAAGATGACCTTGTGGTCCGCCCTGGGAGTCCCAAGTAGCAGCAATCTCTGCCTTGTGACTATTTATTCCCATACTTGAATCCCACTTTCATCCTGCCTTGATGTTGTTGCTCCTTCTTCTTCTTAGTTTTTCTTTCCACTTGGTCACCTCTTGTAGCAAAGGATGACAAGAAGCTCTAGAGGTCCACCTCCAACTATGACCCACATTGTCGTTTCTAAGTTTGCACAAGTTCTGGCAGTCTGGCAGGTGCAAATCCAGTACCTCCAGTCTGGCAGGTATAAATCCATCACCCTATAAAAGCCAAGATAACCAACAGTTGGCCAGTTTGGGGTGCGCCGGTTTTGCAAATGGCAGAACAGTCCAGCTCTGTTCTGCTTTCCGCTGGAGACTTGGAGAACCTCAGTGATCTTTGGGAACTGACCTTTCACTTCACCACCATCCTGTATGACCCTCACTTAAGATTTTGTCAGTGATGACATTGTTGCACAGTACAGAAGCCTCTCTCTCAGAGCACGTTGATACTGCAAAGCTATATTTGTGGGATACACCCCAATTCCTTATTCATGTAAACTAAGGGTCAAATGATACATTACAAAGCTGACCACTACGATTGACATAAATTGCATTTTATGGAAAAATGACTTGTACAGCCCTTTGAGTATGAAGGACAGCTAGTTTAATGCTAGTTTAATATTGTGTACTCAGTAGTTCACCATATATGAACACACACCCAGACACATGACTACTTACATCCTTAGCCGCTCTACTGCTGGCTGGCTGGGCCACCCATGAAGCCTATGGGTGACTGGCATGCCTTGATGCTTCTGTGGGTCTCTCTCCAAATGAGGTCTGTAATCCTCCTTCTTCTGTAGACTTTTGCAGTTTCAAGCCCTCTACCCAAAGCTGCTTCCTCCTCATTTTCAGATTGCATTTCCTATGGCTGCTTTCTTCCAATTCTTGTTAACTGCTGTTTATCTGCTCCGCATTTGGTCAATTATTAGTTTGCAAACACCCGTTTCCACTCTATTCTCTGCCCAGAACATTCTGTCCTTTGGATATTTTTCATGCACAGGTCAGATGTTTTTGTCAGCGAAACAATGCTTGTGTTTCCCCAGCTGTGTATCTATTTACCTATTCATAACATATTATTCGACCCCTGCCCACCCCATTACCTGAATAGTGTACACTATTCAGATAACATTACAGGACAAGGTAAAAGCTAGAATGGAATGGAAAGGGGACATTAACAAAAAGAAAGTAGTGGAATGTGATGGCAAATGGGCCCACTGCTCTTCAACATCTTCATAAATGACCTGCCTGAGGCCATTGAAGGAGCGCTCATCAAATTTGCTGATGACACAAAGCTGGGGGGAATTGCTAATACTTTGGAAGATAGACTCAGCATTCAGAAGGATCTAGACAGACTTGAACATCGGGCCCTATCCAATAAGGTGCAGTTCAGTGGCAGGAAAAAGTAAGGGCCTGCACCTAGGCAGGAGAAACCAGATGTACAGGTAGAGGATAGGGTTGGACTAGAAGACCTTCAAGGTCCCTTCCAACCCTACGACGATTTTATGATTCTATGATTTTTTCCTTGATTTTTCCACTTCCCCTGGACCACCTATAATTCCATCTGCAACCATTTCTTCAGGTGCCTTGTCTGAAAAATCCCCTGAACACATTGTTTTCTTATACTAAGAACTTGATCTCACTGACAATAAAAACTCCTGTTCAACTGAGTTCTGGTTTTTAAAAAAAGCAATTTAAAATTAGATGTCTCCATTATATAAAAACAAGCACAGATTATTTTGTTTTTTCGTTTGAAGGAGACTTAAAACACTCTTCTGCCAGAAGATCATTTATTTTAAATCACTTGCCAAAATGATTTATTTCATTTGGTTTGGCAGATCTAAATTGGTCTTACAAGCAAGAGGGGAGAAACGGGAGTTGGGAGGAAGAGAACCAGTGACGGCAGAGGCAGGAGGAGGAGTGTTGGGCTTCGCTTTGCTGCTTTGGCTCCTCTCAGCTGGCTTCTCAGGGGCTGGGGAGCGAGGATGCTGGCGCTGAGTGGACTTAGTGTGGCCCAGCTGATCCAGGCAGCAAAGTACCATGCTAATAGGTTCTAGCTCTTGTCATCACTTCAACAGCTCAAATCTTACCAACCATTAACAATAGCCATCACTTAAGATTATGGTATCAGCAACATCCACGTTGCAGATCTGATTCTGGCAACAGCTCAGCCAAGGAATTTACATACCAAGGAAGCTCGGAAAAACTACCAGGAACAGCAGCAGCAGTGGCAGAATTAAATTTGGATAATTAGGCGATGAGTTCCGATACTAGCCAAAACACTAAGCTACAGTAGGCTTCCCCTTCAGGTCAAATCCGACCTTCGGGACAAATCAATTTCTTCAGCCCACAATCCTTCAAGGCAAGAATTTTCCCAGGATCTTATCATTTGATATAGTAATAAATTTAGCAAAATCCCCATTTCCAGAACTGGGAACAAAACAGGGTAACCAGGCGTCTGCCATCTGACAGAGTAGCATGACTTGGATGTCTAATACAAAACCTCAAGGAGGGGGAAGAAGAAGTTCTTTGACAGAATAAATTGGTCTTACCAGCAAGAGGGATCTGCCATCTGACAGAGTGGCATGACTTGGATGTCTAATCCATTTAACAAAACCTCAAAGGGGGGGGGGAGAAGAAGTTCTTTGTCAGAATAAATTGGTCTTACCAGCAAGAGGGTAAGATCATGCTTCAACTGTTTCAACACGGGTCAGGAAAAACAATATGCAATACCAAAGCTACACACATAAGAACACACTATCAAGAAGAGCATCAAGATAATGGAAATGTAGAGCACATGTGACAGATAACATGCGTAGATAGAGCCATTGAGATGGTAAGATAGGATCAACTCCCTTATCTCTGTGGAGAGGCTAGGTCAGTTTGATCTCTCTCTCCTTGGATTCATTGCAACCGATAATCCTGGAGCTTGCTTTGCCACTCCTACCGACCTCTTTGCCATTCTTTTTGTGTCAGGTCATGGCAGAAAATGTCAACTAAGGATGCCTTGTTCAGTACTGATTGTTTTGTACTGATGGCTTCCAGCTGAAAGTACAGAAAGTGAAAATAGGGAGGCCAAAGATAAGATAGTGGTCACTCACTAAGTGAGATAGAAGATTGAACACACAGACATTACTCTGAACCCACTATTGGCAACAGAACTCCCTTAAGAGGTTAAATTCATTAATTCATCCTCTGGGGAGTTTTCTCAGCTCTGTAAATTTCAGATTTCGTGGCTTTATTTGGTGATTCATTATCAGAAAATAAGCTCACACTTTATTTGCTGGTGGATTGTGTTGACAGAGCAGCTTTAAAACAGTGTATATTTGGAGGAGAGAGAACGTTTTGTCACCTTCAAACTGCGAAGCTAGCATCTCATCAAATTCTGCTTGAAGGTAAGTATAGGGATTCTTTTGGAGCCGCAGAAGAGGAAGGCCCGGGATCATTTCTGGGTATATGTGCTTCCACATGCCCTTGTCTTTAGCTACAGTCCCATCGAATCCAAGGTGTCTTCCTTTAGTTGATGGGTGTTTTCGTTTTTAGAAGGTCTCTGGAACCCCCTGAAACAAGGTGTGCACCATGTAGGGTTTAATGAGATCACAGTATCCCCCCTTTCTCTGTTACCATTTTGGCTGTGTGGAATAACATTATCAATAGCAATTCAAAGCCCACAAGATGAGAGACAGCTTCCAAGCATTCTGTGTGATCTAGAGGCATAAAGATAGACGTCTCCCTTTGGGGTGACATGGCTGTCCCCTTGCCTCTTCTCCTTTCTTTCGGTTTTGTTGTTGTTGTTAAGTACACATGTTATCTTTTGTGTAGAGATGCGTAGTACCATGGATTTAAGGATGTAAATGAAGGGAAGAAGAGTTACTTTCTTACATTTCTGCCAAAGAAATTCTATAGAGATTTGAAACCCCATATTAAATGTACTATATTTTTCCATGTATAAGACCCCCCATGTATAAGATGCCCCCCCACTTTTCTAATCTAAAATTAATAAATCTAAGTGGGGCTTAGCAAGGATGAGGGAAAAGGGATCAAAGCACTGCAGGATAGCTTTGATCCCTGCTTTCCCCTCCACTTGTTTTTGTTCTCTCCTCAGATTACTTCCGTGTATAAGACGACCCTCAATTTTTAGTTTAAAGGTTTTAGACAAAAGTACAGTCTTATACACAGAAAAATACGGTACTAACTAGCTGTTTGGTCCCTCATGAGATCTTCAGAGTTTGGAAGCAGTAACTTAGAAATAATACCATTGCGTTCAAATGAGTTACTTTCCTTTTGGTAATGTAAGACTGAACTCGCCTATGAAAACTGGCACAACCTCAGATGTTTGGGGAATGACATTAAATAACCTTTTATCTGATTACTAGCCTCTCTTAGTTCAGTGGTGAATGGTCCCTTAGTGGCTGCTTACCTCAGCTCACGTCCAGGTTACCCTTGACTCTCCTCAGCCTGATGGCCTCCTTATTGGAGGTGGAGGGCAAGGTCCTCCCTTGTGTCACCCTTCTACCAAGTGTATATGTGAATGATGGTTGTTGTGGGTTTTTCGGGCTCTTTGGCCGTGTTTTGAAGGTTGTTCTTCCTGACGTTTCGCCAGTCTCTGTGGCCGGCATCTTCAGTAGTAGGAACTCTGTCCGTGCTCTGTTGCAGTTTGAATGCTTGCTTCCATTGATGTGTGCCACTCTCTGTGTGAGAGAGTGCACTAATAGCCATTTTTGGCCCTAGCTCTGATGAACACCTGTGCTTCCCCCTTCCAATGTTGTCACATCATCTCCACCAACTGCACTGAGTGCCAGCCATCACTGTTGGTTTTAAGATTATTTTTGGGGGAAGCGACTTCATGTTTTTGCCACGCTCCTATCAATTCTATGGGTTTTTATGCAATGAAAATGAACAAATTTCTTCCCCACATGAGGAAACCCTAAAAATGCTATAACATCGCCCTTCCCCTTTATTTCTTACTTATAGATATACAGTTTTTCAATGGCAAAAAGGACCTATTTCACCTATAAGGGGATCCTTCTTCCCACGGCAGGCTACTCAGAGGAATCATTGAGCTTTATGGAAAATGAATTTCAGCTCCTTGATGATGATGTGGTGACTGTCAGCTATCCCAAGTCAGGTGGGTGTCTCAGTGAAATAACAGTAATCGCTGGAATAGTTCCACTACTGGAATTAAATGTTTTTAAACGGCCCATTTAGATGATAGAGATGGACTTACACATAGGCTACCATGGAAGGACAATGTCGAAATGAGATTTAATGCAGGATGCTAAGAATTTCTTGCACTGATTGGGCAGACGATGAAGAAACATGAAAGCAAATGAATAAAGATGAAGAAATCAGAAAACACATGGAATGCAGAAAGCTCAACTATTTCAGCTATTCTTATAGCCGATCATGCATAGTAAGATAAATAGGAAGTGGGAAGGATAAGAACTTAAGGACAGAAGAATCAGGCAGACTGGCTGAATGCAACCCAACATCATAGTTTAGAGCTTTTCCATTCAAAGTCAAAACAGCCTTGATCATGTCTATCTCTGGTAGGAGAAGGACAAATGAAGGACATTTAACAGAATATCTGTTAAGTGATCAGGAATACAAGCAGCTGCTTAAGGAAAAGTTGAAAGCTTGGTTCAATGAATCACACATGCCCTGGTGAAATGCTAGCAACTGCTAGATACCGTAGTTTATCAGAAATTGGTCAATGTTCAGCCAATTGACCATAGTGTATGAATTACTACCCTAGAGCTCAAAAGGAACTAGTTACAAATAATGAGTTGTATGTAATTAATTCATCCTTGTATTTTGAAAACAACAACAACAACAACAACAACAACATCATCAACAACAACAACAACATCATCATCATCATCATCAACAACAACAACAACAACAACAACAACAACAACAACAACAACAACAACATATGGCAGAGCACTCTTCAGGCGGTTCACAACAAGGCAAACAAACCATACAGAATAACAGAGCAATCTACAAATATATATCCACAAATAATAAACTCAATCAGTTAATGAAATCACTGAACTATCTAGCCTATCTTTCAATAAATATAAATTATAAAGCAACATTGGGTAATCACAGGTAAGACCACTAATAAAAAGCAGCTTTAAACATTTCAGTTTTAACCAACTTCTTCAAACTTGAGAGGGAAGGCACCAGGTGAATGTCAGCTAGGAATTTGTTCAAGAACTGAAAAAGCTCAGTTTCTGATGTTTACCCTTTTTGGCCTCCTTACCTTTTTAAACACACTGGACTCCGAAGAGTGGGAAGGATTTGCAGCTGTTTTGTAGGAGAGACATTCCAACAGGTATTGAGGTTGTGAAGAGTGGGAAGGATTTGCAGCTGATTTGTAGGAGAGACATTCCAACAGGTATTGAGGTCCTTGATAGGTGATAACCAGCCTTTGAACTGAGCATGGTAACTAACAGGGAGCCAATAGAGACATGGCAAGACTGACCAGAAATACATGGTCATATCTTAGTTGGTACCTAAGGTACCTCAGTTGGTACCTAAGATCAGTCTGCCTGCCACATTTTGGACCTGCTGAAGTTTCTGTACTGATTTCAATGGTAGCCCTATGTAGAAAGCATTACAATACTCTATTTTGGAGATTACCCAAGCATGAACTGCTGTTATTAGCCATTTCTTTCTCCAGATAGGGGCCAAGAGTCTTTTTCATCAACTGGAGTTGGCTGTGGAGAAAGCTGGGTACACCCAAACTATAAACCTTATCTTTCACGGTGGGTGTAACCCCACTGAGAGCAGGAAAATATCCCTCTAATGGGTGAGACAATCCTCCCGACAGCAGAATATACTGCATGTCTTATCTGGATTCACTTTTGGTTTATTACCCTTTGTCCATTCATCACCAGACAGTGCTGAAGGACCTGCACTGCGCCATGTGCATATAAAGAAAAGGAGAGACAAGTGAATTGACTTCTCCCAGCAGCTTCATATAGTTATTGAAATCATTGGGGAAATGATCAATCTCACAACAGAGGCCTGAAGGAGTAGGCCTCACTTCCTCAAGTGGTACTCTCTGAGAACGACCCTCAAGGAAGTATTGGAACTTCCAAAGAATGATGGGCCCAAGTCCTAAACTTAATAGTCATCCCAGAATGTTGTTGATGGTATCAAAGGCAGTTGAAATATCTAGGAGGATCAGCAAGGCTGCACTCCCCCATCAGCCTCTCTTAAGAGACAAGAGATGTTCCAACAGGTATTGATAAATTTAACCATTCAGGCTTTATAGTTGATGGCCAGCATCTTGAATTGAGCGCAGAAACTAACAGAAGACTAACAATTGTGATGCATTCCTGAAGTCATGGAAAAGCGGTGATTTCATTTGCTGTTTGGTGTCATGGCTAAAACATTCTAGCTGTTTAAAGTTATTATTTGGATTCATTTTTGTTATTGTACACGGGATTTGTTTTTTGTTACTTTTCTACCTAATGGAATGTTCATTTTGTACCACAGATCAGTGACTTGCAATATTCTGAGGTTTTGAAAATGTAACTAAAATTGAATAATGTGAAAGGAAAGAGTTACTTTCAAAAAGAGAACCTTAACTGTAAGTCGCTACTATGGAGACCTTGGAGGAGGATCTGAAATAAATTACTTTAAGCATTACTTTCTAAGCTCAGTACTCACATGCTTCACAATGCCTAGGGTATTGCTGTACATTCAGATTTACTCAATCCTTCCCCTTGAAATTTCTTCTGTCTCTTACTGATTTTGCAAGAAGCAAGGGATTTTTACTGGGAAGTCAAAGTGAATGCGAAATTAGGTACATGAAAAGGACTGAGAAAAAAGATGTAACCTTGGGACTCCCCCCACGCTCCAGGTACCATCTGGATGTTGGAAATCTTGGGCTTAATCTGGCATGATGGAAATCCTTCATGGGTCCAGAGTATGATCTCGTATGAACGGTCACCATGGATTGAGACTGTCGATGGTCTGAAAGCTGCCTTGAACTATCCTCCACCCAGGTTCCTGACAACTCACCTCCCATTCCAGCTTTTCCCTAAATCCTTTCTGCATTCCAAGTGCAAGGTAAGCAAGAATTAAGCCATCAATGAAAACCACCTTTAGGTCCATTTGGTTGGTGCTGTTGTCCTGGGGACTCTAGGCTGAACACAGGTACGAACAGTGCTGTGTAGTTGCTCAAACAGCTCAGTAAGTCAGGATTCAATTCCTTACCTTAGCTCCTTGAAAGAGCCAGGCTGTGCAGCCTTGAGAAGCTGCCATCCCAGAGCGAACCCCAGAAGAGAGGAGTGAAAAACTGCTTCTTAATATCTGTTCTTAAACAACCCTGGAATGGTTTACTGTTAGTCAGGGTCAACTTGACAGCATGTAATTAATGAATTATATACAAAGGTATAAGAACACTATATGCATTCAGTGTGGATGTTATGAAGCTGTATGGTCCAACTTGGTATAAAGATGTTTCCATCATCATCATCATCATCATCATCATCATCATCATCATCATCATCATCATCGTCGTCGTCGTCGTCGTCATCGTCGTCATCGTCATCGTCATCGTCATCGTCATCGTTGTTGTTGTTTTTTAATGCTAAGATGGTCTGTTATGCAAGCAAGTGCATAAGTGATTGTGCAAGAGTTTGTACAATTAGAGCAATTGCTTGTGCAGCCGCTTGTGCTAGTGGGGGTATACACCACATTCACATCGTGGTCAATTTAGCCCACAATGGTTTGACAAATGGGTAGAAAATTCTTCCATCTCTAAATAGAACTTTCTCTCTCTTACAGATAATCTGTCTTATGAGAAACCCCAAGGATGTGCTGGTCTCACATTATCACTTCTCAAAGTTTTTTAAAGTATTTGAGGAACCTGGGACCATGGAAGAGTTCCTGGAGAAGTTCTTGAATGGGAATGGTAGGGAAAGAGATAATTCACTTATCTATTTTAACAGGGAAAAAGCTCTGATGATTGAAAAGGCTGGGGTTTGATTTTTACAGAGTGGAAAGAATGACCTCTTCCTTAATTTGTCTGCTGTATCTGTTGTACTGATCTTCAGAAGCTTCATTTGGTTGTCTCCATCCACTTGACAGAAAAGGTCAGGCTTGGGAACATACTGGGGTCTGGCTCGAGTGCTATCCCTGTATGTTGTGGGATCGCTGGGAAATAGCTTACACTGGCCATGCTGCAAGTGGTTCAAAAAGTCAGGTTATAGTAGGACTCTCATATATGTGGAGGATTGGTTGCAAGACCCCCTCCCCCATGCTGAAAACCAGAGATAATAATAAATGCTGTACATAGCATGGAAAAAGAAAAAAAATCCAGGAAAAATATTTTGGCCACTAGAGGGGGCTAGAGAACATGTTACGTTTTCTTCACTAAACAAGAATATGTACAGTACTTAGCATGTGTATTTCTAATCCAGGAAAAATATTTTCACCATGTATTACCGGACATGGCCACTAGAGGGGGCGAGAGAACATGTTACCTTTTCTTCATTAAACAAGAATACAGTATGTACAGTACTTAGCATGTGTATTTCTAGGTTTTTTTATAAAAATATTTTAATATTTTCAGACTGTGACTAAATGAAATCATGGATACTGATCTCACCGATATGGGGTCCTATTGTATTAGCCTGTGTAACTCCACTGAGCTCACACCACATTCATTCATGGCCATAACTCTCTCCTTTAAATTAGCAGTGTTCTTTCCTGATCCCCTTTCCCTCTCCTAAAAGCAGAACATTTTCCCCTTTCGCTCATATTCATTCTTCCATTTTCTTTCTTTCTCCTCTTCTTTCTGTCTCCCTCTCAGGTATACTCAGAGATCCATCTGGACAATACTTTAAGGGGGAAAAGATTGTTTGTGTCGTTTACTCTCAGGCAGCTTTTCACAAACCTGCCTTTCACAAATTAGTTTGTGTATTTTTCATAACGGGTCACTGGGAGGTGAGCATGGGATTGTTTCCATGTCTTTCTTTCACCACAGTAACTCTAAAGATTTGTGTGTCAGGAGGGAGGACGTTTCTAAGGAGAGGGAATATGTGTTTCTTGTATCGTGTTCTGACTCTCAAAGTACCTACCCTGTTTCCTGGAAAATAAGACCTACCCTAGTAGGATTTTTCAGGATGCTCCTAATATAAGCCCTACCCCCCAAAATAAGCCCCCAGTTAAGTGAAAACCCGCTCTCCACCATTGTGCAGCATTGTGCAGAAACCAGAAGAAGATGACATGACTGTAAAATAACCCCCTGAAAATAACCCCTAATGTGTTTTTTTTGGAGCAAAAATTAATATAAGACCCTGTCTTATTTTCGGGGAAACGCGGTAAGTGTGATGAGTCTGGGAGTTCAGAATGAGGGACAGACAAGTGGAGCCCTGAAAAACCAACTCTGGTAAGAAGGAAAGAAGAAGAGGGCTGATTGGAATAATAATTCTTATTCTTATGTGCTGTCAAATCAGTTCTGAGTTGTGGCAACTCTTATCAGGGGTTTCTAGATACCCAGGACTCAGCAGAGTGGATCAGTCTCTTGTTCTGGGAGTGCTCTAGGACTGTGTAGCTTGCCTAAGGTTACACAGGCTGGTTCTTCTCCTAGAAGGCACAATGGGGAATGAAACTCCCAATCTCTAGCTCCACAACCAGATGGTGAGGATGGTGACGACGACGACGACGACGACGACAACAACAACAACAACAACAACAACAACAACAACAACAATAAATGTGCCATCAAGTTGATTCTGTCTAAGGGTGACCCTTTCCATGGTGTTCTAGTAGAGAAGATCCGGATATGGCTTCCCAGTCTCTTTTGCGATTGCCCGGGAACTGTGGACATTGCACATGGCTACATAGGCTGGCTCTTCTCCCAGGAGCCTTCAACCTCTGGCTTCACAATGCTAAACCACTGTGCTGTCCAGCCAGCTTCTGCAGCCACATATTAATTACAAATTTTGTAATAGCACAATTTTGATTTACGCAACAAGATTTTGGCCACCGACTCCCTGACTAATGGCCAGTCCAGGTCATAAGCTTAGCAAATGGAAAAGGAGCTCTCTTGGGAAGCAAGAGACACTGATCTATTTTAGCATGAGGGCAAATTAGCTTGTTTCTCCAGAATATGACTTGGAATAAAGTATGCCTGCTGTCTGAGATGGTGTCTAAACCAGGAGAACTGCACTGAGGACTGATTAGAATCGGTGCAATACTCTAGTAAATGAGATGCTCATTTTTGGTCACTGAGATTTAGGACTGTTTCCTGGAATTCACTTTTGTTTGAATTAGCAGAACTGGAATTCTGGGATAAGGGTCCCCATCTGCCTAAATGTCACATCCCTTGCTCAGCTCTTTATATTTGACCTTTGTGTTGGCTTGGCTTTTCCAGTGGTTTATGGTTCCTGGTTCGACCATGTGAAAGGCTGGATGAAGCTGAAGGAGAGACCCAACTTCTTCTTAATCACCTATGAAGAGCTGCAGCAGGTCTGGTTCATCCTTTTCTTGTGTTCATTCATCTACCATTATTTGACCTGCTGAAGTTTCTGCCTTTTGGCATTCTGTCATACTTTAGAAAGTAGACCCAACATTCCCAAATGATTACTGAGCTTCTTCTTCAGCTCCAAGTGAGGATTTTTAAAAAAAAGCAAATTGAAGGGTCAAAGAATCTCTTTTTATGAGCAGGTTACATTTTCTCTGGGCTGTGTTATGCTAGTATTCCTTGGACTTTCAGATTCTGAAACTAATTCAAGATTTTACCTCTTTTCAACTTTGCCAGGAGTTGGGCAGACTGATACATGATGGGACACAATACAGCACTTTGCCAGTCGGCTGGTTCCCATTGTCATTTTGGCATGGTTGAATAGCAGATAAGGGAATACTGGATTTCTTTGAACTACAGACTGAGAGCAGATTGATGTCATGTTAATTCTTCATGGAATTCTGAGACCTGGAGTTTGGTGACTTAGAATTCTGTTAGACGTCTTCCATGTACTTTATTGAACTACAGCAAATAATTTTAAATACATTACCAAACTGCAGATCCAAGGATCAACCTATGGCTGTTCAACCAGTTTCAAACTGCTGTACATCCGTACTGGAGCTGTGCTCTAAAGATGAATGTAGCAGTTTAACTTAATGCAGCTTGAAAGGTGGAAACAACTGATTCTCATGAAGGGGCTGATATCTCTGTGGAAGGACACTATTAGAATCTGCGTACGGATTTTCTCTGCTGCAGGACCTGCGAGGCAGTGTCAAGAAAATCTGCCACTTCCTTGGTAAGGAACTGGACAGTCGCCAGTTGGATGCGGTGGTGAAAAATGCCTCTTTTGAAATCATGAAGGACAACAAGATGTCCAACTTCTCCCATGTACCAGAGGATTATATGGATCATGAGAAAGGAAAATTCATGAGGAAAGGTAAAAGTACAGCTGAATTAAAATGGCATGCATGCATTATGGTTCCTAAACAATGGATGAATGAGAATTTCTCTGCTCCAATCCCATATCAAGTCGTTGACTAAATTGCCACATGACTCATGCTTGGACACTAATCTGTGGCTGGTTTCCACCACTGTGCCTCAGGGCAGCAGCATAGCTTTGCATGTACAGCATGGAAGATTCTAAACATTACACATACACACAGTAAAGGTAAAGGTTAGAATTTCCTGCTAACCGCTTTGCTTGACTCCTGGCCTTTGCGGTGATGCTGCCTCTGATGCATTCCGTGAAGTTGAAAGGACCATTGAGATGGTCAGCTGAGCAGGCAAATTTGCAAAGGGCAACAAAAATAACATGGAGCCCCTTCAGATAGAAGACCACTTCTTTGACACCTCAGGAAGACGCAATAGCCAGGAGAAAAGGTTGCCATGCTACTCTCGAGTTACCCAGTGTATTGGATAGAGTGTGGGACTAAGACTCAGGAGACATCGGTTCAAATGCCTGCTTGGCTTTGGGCAGTCACTGCGGGTGTGGAATTGGTAAAATTACTCCTTAAATTTCTCTTTTGTTTCAAAACCCCTATTGTGTGTGTGTGTCTCCAGTGAATCTGCAGAGTGGCAGTCAGCTCTATACTGGTGCTGACCATTAGAGGTATATTATTTTCAGTAAAAGCATAGCTCTACTTTGTTATGGATACTCCTCTTGTGATGTTTCAGGGGTCTGCGGAGACTGGAAGAACCACCTCACCGTGGCACAGGGCGAACACTTCGACCGTGTGTATCGGGAGAAGATGCAGGGTGTGGGTGTGGCCTTTCCATGGGATTGAAGAAGGCCCGATTGCATCCTGTGCTGCTATTTCTAGGCAGCGTCTTTTGTGTGTGAGAGTTTTGTGTGAAACATACATCTTTCTTCAGGGCTACAGATCTACAGTATATGATTTTTTTTAAAAAAAAATCACATGGTCTTCACATGCTGCATCTTTTACAGTTTGGAATCTTTCTTTTAAATATAAGCAAACTTGCCGATGACATCTTTTCTCTTCAGATGTGTAGAAATCAAAGGAACAATGTCATGGTGCAACTACCACAAGGTGGCAGATAATAAAAGACACCTATATCTGCATGTGTGCCTTATAAATTACTACCGGAGCTTTGGACAGTCTTTAGGATTTTTGATTCCTTTAGTCTTTGCAATCCACCAGGATCCTGTAGGACCCTAAGCTCAGGTTCTGAATGTGATGATGTGGAAACCTCTCTTGTAGAGCATGTTGGATTTGAGGTCCTGCAAACTAAATTTGTTGGGTGCACCCCAGTACCTTATTTATGTAGACTAAGGGTCAACTGATACATGGCAGATATCATTTGAAATGAACTGAGTTTTTTGGAAGATGATTTGTGGAGGCCCTTGTGTCTGAAGAATCATCCTATAGGGGCCCTTAATCAGCTCTGTCTTCTAATAATGAGTTTGCTCCTAATTTACACCTCCTTTTTGGTGTTGGTTTCTTTCCTTTAAAATATTTTTGCACCAAAAGAAAGAACTAACACAGGAGGTTTTGAAACCAATGCTATTAGTTTTTGTGCTCTAAAACTGTGTATTTTGGCAGTACAGTACTATTTCTTCTGCACACAGAGACATGCACCCTGAGGCAATAATTGTATTATACAGGGCACTAATGATCCATCTAGTGATAAATGATACTATCAGATACTGATATCATTGACAGACCTATGATTTCTGCTCATGTTCTTCCACTTTGAATAATAATGACACTACAGGCACGGCACAGATTTGCTTTTGGACTACAACTCCTAGAATTCTTTAATTGGAAGGTCTAAAGCCATAGATTTGCACAGCGCCAGAAGTTACTGGTGTGTTTCTGTCCGAGTACAGGGGAGAGAAAGAAAAAGGATTCCACTTCATGTAATGACCTTGCCTTGAAAAATGAAATGAAACAAAATGAAACAGAACCAAACAAAAAGAGGAAAAAAAATGAACCTTGAAGTTTTAATCCATTGACATTAACAATGAACTTGAAGATGTTTAACGTGTTAAGCTGAGGGTACCTGAGCAGAGGTGCTCAATTCCTCTTTCAGCTCACTCTTTTCCCATTGGACAGACCACAAACCTCCAGACAAATGTGAAGTGCAAGTGGAGGGGACAGGATTGCACCTGGAGATGGATAAACAGATAGTCAAGGAACACCTTACCACCTTGAATGAGTTCAGTTCAAATGGGCTGGATGAACTGCATCTGAGAGTACTGAAGGAATTAGCTACAGGAACCTGGGAACTATAAACCAATTGGCCTAACGTCAATCCCAGGAAAGGTTGTGGAAGAAATTATAAAAAGGTCACTATGAAAGCACCTAGAAAAATTGATTTCAAAGGTTTAATGATTACATACAAGATCCTAAACAGTTTAGGACCTCAATACTTGGCAGAGCGCCTCCTCCCTCCTAGATCTACCCGTACCACCTGATCTAGCCAGGAGGGGCGATTGAGGAGCCTAATGCCGAGGGAGGCCCGGAAAGAAAAAAACAAGACACTGGGCCTTCTCAGCAGTGGCTCCCAGGCTCTGGAACAAACTCCCCTCCGAGATTCGCTTGGCCCCTTCGCTGGGTATTTTCAGAAACCAACTTAATACCTGGTTATTCAGACAGGCCTTCCCTCCAGGCATTACTTAACTTCTCTTTTCATCCCATCTTGAACTATTGTTGTCTTGTATATTGTTGAAAAACTGTTAATATATATTTTGAATTGTTTTTATCTTGTATGGTGTGAGCTGCCCAGAGTAGACTATGTCTAGATGTGCAGCATATAAACAAACAAACAAACAAACAAACAAACAAACAAACAAACAAACAAACAAACAAACAAACAAACAAACAAACAAACAAACAAACAAACAAACAAACAAACAAACAAACAAACAAACAAACAAACAAACAAACAAACAAACAAACAAACAAACAAACAAACAAACAAACAAACAAACAAACAAACAAACAAACAAACAAACAAACAAACAAACAAACAAACAAACAAACAAACAAACAAACAAACAAACAAACAAACAAACAAACAAACAAACAAACAAACAAACAAACAAACAAACAAACAAACAAACAAACAAACAAACAAACAAACAAACAAACAAACAAACAAACAAACAAACAAACAAACAAACAAACAAACAAACAAACAAACAAACAAACAAACAAACAAACAAACAAACAAACAAACAAACAAACAAACAAACAAACAAACAAACAAACAAACAAACAAACAAACAAACAAACAAACAAACAAACAAACAATGCAGTAATAACTAGAGGCCAGCACAGGATTGTCAAGAACAAATTCTGCCAGACTAATCTGATCTGGTAACATAGACAGAGGGAATGCTGTAGACGTAGTATATCTTGACGTCAAGCTTTTGACAAAGTGCTCCATGATGTCCTGATTGGTAAGCTAACTAGGTGTGCAGGATAGATCTAGTGTCATGTGGACACACAATTGGCTACAGAATCATACTCAGGGGGTGATGATTAATGGCTCCTTCTCCAACTGGTAACAAGTGGGATACCCCAGAGCACAGCTCAGTCCTGCGTCCAATGCTCTTCAACATTTTTATTAATTATGTGGATGAGGGAGTTCAGGGAATGCTTATCAGATTTGCGATGACACAAAATTGGGTGGAATAGCTAATACCCTTGAAGACAGAAATGATATTGATAGGCTGGAGTGCTGGGCTGAAAACAACATAATAAATTTGAACAGGGATAGGTGCAAAGTATTGCACCTTGAAAAAAGAAACCAAATGCAAAGTTACAAGAAGGGGGATACTTGGCTCAGCAATACTACAACTGAGAAGGATCTTGAAATTGTCGCAGATCACAAGCTGATGTGGCTCCAAAAAGGCAAATGCTATTTTAGATTGCATTAGAAGAAGTATAGTTTCCAAATCCTGCAAGGTGCTAGTTCCCTTTTATTCAGCACTAGTTCAGCCTCACCTTGAGTCTTGTCTCTAGTTCTGGACACCACATTTCAAGAAGGATGCTGACAAATTGGAAAAAGTTCAGAGGAGAGCAACAAGGATGATCAGGGGACTGGAATCCAAGCCCTGTGAGGAAGAACTGAAAGAATTGGGCATGTTTAGCCTTGAGAAAAGAAACAGAGGAGTGATATGATAGCACTCTTCAAATATTTGAAAGGCTGTCATATAGAGGAGGGGCAGGATCTGTTCTCCATCACCCCAGAGTGTAGGACATGAAACAATGTGCTCAAGTTACAGGAAGTTAGATTTCAGTTGAATATCAGGGGAAAAAATTCTACCTGTTAGAGCAGTACAACAGTGGAACCAATTACCTCAAGAGGTGGTGAGTGCTCCATCACTGGAGATGTTCAAGAGAGATTTAGACAGCCACCTGGTGGATATCCTTTGATTTGTATTCTTGCCTTGAGCAGAGAGTTGGACTTAAGGGCTATATAGGCTCCTTCCAACTTCACAATTCTATGATTCCCCCACTTACCCATCACTATCATTGTCCTCCAAGGACTCAACTAAATCACTTTGATCTTCTGCTTCTGAAGAGGGTTCTGAATGTGCCCTCCTTACATGGAGCCCCTCTAAAGAGGTGGGAGGTCGAGTCCAGATACACACCCAGTTTTGGGGCTGTTGCAGAATTCTGCTCCCTCAGGTGACTCAGGGGTCCCACAAGGGGATGCATTGGCTCATAGTTGGTTTGGGGCATGAGGATGGATCCGCAAGGTATGAGGAGGGCCCCTGGGTGGGGGGGTCCTCCTCAAGTTAAGTTTCCTTTATCGGAGTGTTGGGTGGAATCCAAGTGCACGCTTATGCACCTGGCTTGGGGGATGTTGCAGAATTCCACCCCACTCAGCTGGCAGTGGTGTCCAAACAATGGCACTTTCTTATGTGGTTAATTCTAGTTTGGTTACCTGGATTATCATCAGCTGGCAGGTGGGTTGACCGACATGTGAACCACCCACTGTGGCCAGGGCTATTTCACAGTTCTAACCAATGTGGCCATTTTTTCCCCAAATAAACTTGAGTCTCTGTGATTCCTTGGAGTTTTCCCTTCCCTACCCCTGTCATTATGTTCTAAAGACAACGAAGAGCTGGGCTGACTAAACCATATTAGAGTGGTCTTTTAGAGCAGATGGGTGGGGTATAAATCAAATAAATAAATAAATAAATAGTTATGTTCTGGTTAAATGGTGCTGAGTTCAATATCTGAGGACTCAATATGTGGAGAGCTTTAGCAGTTCCTTGAGTGAAGGGGCAAATACAAACACATAGGGAACAGCTAAAGGTTAGTGGCAGTGAAAGTGCCTCATTAAGTAAAGAAATATTTAATGGTTGTTCTGGGTTTTTCGGGCTCTTTGGCCGTGTTCTGAACATGTTCCCAAACAAACTGCACCAGAGCACAGAGTGATACTCCAGTCCTCTGAAGATGCTGGCCACAGAGACTGGCGAAACGTCAGGAAGAACAACCTTCAGAACATGGCCAAAGAGCCCGAAAAAACAACAACAACAGAACAACCATTAGATCCCGGCCGTGAGGCCTTCACGAATATAAAGAAATATTTAATTCTGCAAAAGAACTCCCAAACAAAACAAAACAAAACAGCAACAACAAAGAAGCCCTCCTTTTTATGAATGTGGCATATTGGTGTTTGGTATCAATGACTTAAATGCCAGGAAACTGCCCGGTATTGTTGCACCGTATTGTGTCCACAAGACTGAGAATTGTAGTGTGAGTATATTGGGGATCCCATGGTTGGGAACCACTGGTTGTGTGATCTAGTGGGCATTGGAGCAAACATGAACAGTTCTGGGTCTGCTGTTGTTATGCTGCATCTTTCCAAAAAGGTTTCTGCTCAACAGATTCTTGAGCCATCAAGAATAAAATCAACATGGATGTCAATGGAAGCTGAAGACATGCCACTCAGACCACTCACGTACTGAGAGCCTGCGTGATGGGAAAAGCAAGATCTCCTCCATTATCTCTATAGAGAGGCCTGTTTGATCTCCCTCTCTCTGGATTCTTTCCATATTAAATGGAGAACTTTAAAAAACATTGTTGTTGTTGTTCAGTTGTTTAGTCATGTCCGACTCTTCGTGACCCCATGGACCAGAGCACGCCAGGCCCTCCTGTCTCCCACTGCCTCCTGGAGTTGGGTTAAATTCATGCTGGTTGCTTTGGTGATCCTGTCCATCCATCTCGTCCTCTGTCATCCCCTTCTCCTCTTGCCCTCACACTTTCCTAACATCAGGATCTTTTCCAGGGAATCTTCTCATGAGATGGCCAAAATATTGGAGCCTCAGCTTCAGGATCTGTCCTTCCAGTGAGCACTCAGTGACCAATAACACCCAAATTTGCATTTCCTTTTCTCTTTTCCTATTAGCCACTTCTTTCGTTTCAGGTCATGGCAGTTAGTAACCTTGTGGGCCAAGGCTGCCTTGTTTTTCTAGCTTTTACTGTCCTTGACGATTAGCCCATCACTTCAGGCAGAAGGAAGAGACAGGGGCCAAAGATCAGAAGCTACTACTTGGAAAGTGAGGCAGAGGTTTCGTTTGCAGGGAGATTGTGTTGACGGAGCAGCTTGAAAGCTGCACCTTTGAAGGAGAGAGAAAAAAACATTGTCACCTTCAAACTGAGAAGCTAGCATGTCATCCAGTTTTCTGCATGGAAGTTCAATGCTCAGGTAAGAAGGAGATCTTTGGGGACCACAGACGAGGAGGGAATGGTATCTACTATGGGAATGAATGTTTCCACTTCCCACTGCCTTCTCTTTAGTCAAATATAGCTAAGTCATGTTTTCCTTTTAGAACCATCACTGGAACTTCTTGAAACAAGGGTCAATGGAGCCCAAAGGACCCCAGTTTTCTCTTAGTTTATTTACTAGGTCCAAGAAACCAATTAAAACCAAATTAAAGTCAATGGAATTGTTTTTGCCTGATCAGTAAGAGCAGATGTACCCCTTTTGCCCTCTGTATAGAGAAAATACCTTGGGCTGAAGCACAAGGTAAGGGAAATGAAGGGAAGAAAAGTTACTTTCCCACAGCTCTGCCAAGTGGATGCCATAGAGATTTGAAACCCCATATTATTATATATGAACTAGCTGTTTGGTTCCTCATAAGAACTTCAGAGTGTGGGAGTGTGTGATCTGGTGCGAATCCCTTTTCTCCTTTATCTGGATCTTGCTGGATGGATGACTCAAGAACGCCAGACGTTTCTAACAAAAACCCTTTATTCTTTAACCCCTTGCTCAATTCAGCATCAGCAACAGACTCTTGTCTTTTGTTTCAGGGATGTTGTGCCTTTTCATTTCTCATTGAACCCTAATAACACCCAATCTATCGGGTACATCTGCAGCCGACCTTATTGGGGAGGGTGGAAAACCCAGCCCGCCTGTGGTTCCCATACTTTCATGCCCGGGTTTTGTCTCATCCTTGATCGGAATGGGCTTGTCCCACGGAGTTCCCCAGGACGGTCTTGTTTTCCCTCTTTTGTGCCTCCCACTGCTGCCATTCCCTGAATTTTGTTCTTTTTCTTCTTTCTCGCCCAAGTAATGTGGCTTTCTATAGGTTTTTCTCCTCAATTCCTTCTCAGCATACTCCCTTGGTAGCAGTAGGATTTATTTTGCAGTGACAGACCCAATAAAATACATTTAAAATTTCAAGAATGATTTAAAACAATTTAAAATTCAGTAGATTCAGCTGCAAAACATTAGATATTATAAAGCACAGGCGAGGATTTCCTTTCGTGTTTTCTGTGCAGAAAAAAAAAAAAGAAACTTGGCCACAAATTCTGTAGTGGGCTTATTTGTGTCTGCTATTATTTTGCAGTGACAGACCCAATAAAATACATTTAAAATTTCAAGAATGATTTAAAACAATTTAAAATTCAGTAGATTCAGCTGCAAAACATTAGATATTATAAAGCACAGGCGAGGATTTCCTTTCGTGTTTTCTGTGCAGAAAAAAAAAAAAGAAACTTGGCCACAAATTCTGTAGTGGGCTTATTTGTGTCTGCTAGGAAATACCTCCGTGTTTTCTGTGCAGAAAAAAAGAAAAAGAAACTTGGCCACAAGTTCTGTAGTGGGCTTATTTGTGTCTGCTAGGAAATATCTTGTGTACCAGTCCAAGGACCTGCCTGGGAAATCTCTTATTACTGGGCTGATTTGCCTGGCACCGTCATCGCTGTAGAAACTGCGTATGAAAAAGGAGATGCTCTAATGTTTCGATTTCTTTATCGAAACATTAGAGTATCTCCTTTTCATAAGTAAGCAAGAATGAACTACCCTGTTTCCCTGAAAATAAGAAAGGGTCTTATATTAATTTTTGCTCCAACAATGCATTAGGGCTTATTTTCAGGGGATGTTTTATTTTATATTCATGTACAACTATCTACATTTATTCAAATACAGTCATGTCATCTTCTTCAGGTTGCTGCACAAGGGTGGAGGGCAGGGTTTCTCTTAACAGTGGTTTATTTTTAGGGTAGGGCTTATATGACGAGCATCTTGAAAAATCATACTAGAGCTTACAGTGGTGCCTTGCTAGACGATGATAATCCGTTCCACTGAAATTGCTGTTTAGCGAAATCATTGTCTAGCGAAAAGCATTTCCCCATTGGAATGCATTGAAACCTGTTTTAATGTGTTCCAATGGGGAAGAATCGTCGTTGTCTAGCGAAGATTGGCCATAGGAAAGCTGCTTTGCGAACCGCCGATCAGCTGTTTAAATCGCTGTCTTGCAAAGCTTAGGTCCCGAAAACACCTGTTTGCGAGCACGGAGGGAGCTGTCAAAATCATTGTCTGGTGAAAATCGGTTTGCGAAGCAGGGACCAAACATATTTTTAGGGTAAATAATAGCGTACCCTCATTCACTGATGACTGGTCCATTAGAAAATGTGGGATGCTACCCCCATCTCATGTCTAGGTTACCTATGGCTACCACTCTCCTGCCTTCCTCCTTATTTGAGCTAGAGGGCAGGGCCCTACCTGTGTACTCCTTCTGCTACTGTACAGAATATGAATATGTATTTCCTTTATATGTAAGTCTCTGGAGGCTTCTGTGCAGAAATACATATTCTTATCCTTCGTTCTGCTTGCCCTCTGTACCTGTTTCCCATGCTGACTTTTCTGCTCCATCAACTGCACTGAGCCCAAGCCACTATCATCCAAGTTTTAAAATATTTTTAGAGGCAAAATACAGTACTCCATGTTTTGCCACTCTCTTAGCAATTGCATGGTTTTTTAAGTAATGAAGAAATAACATTTGGGAAACCCTAAAGATGTTACATCATAACGTCTCCCTCCCTCATTTTGCCCCCTCATGGATATACAGCTTTCCTAAGGCAAAGAGGACCTATTTCTCCTATAAGGGGATCTTTCTCCCCACAGTCAGCTACTCTGAGGAATCACTAAGGTATACAGAAAACGAATTCCAGCTCCTTGGTGATGATGTGGTGACCACCAGCTATCCCAAGTCAGGTTAGTGTTGCAGTGAAATAATGTTCACCACTGGAATTGTTTCACCATTGGAATTAATGTTGTTCCAGGGTCCCTTTATATAAAACAGATGGTTGGACAGACAGGATTCCATGAAAAGGATAAGGACTTAATAGCATAAGAAGCCTGAAAACTTGCTGAATGCAAGACAACATCTTCATTTAGAGTTTTCTTATTTAAAGCCAAAAACAGCCAATATGACATCTAGGACAACAAGAGGAAAGAAGAATATTTGTTAAGTGTCTAAGAATAGTTGCACCAGCTTAATGACAAACTGAAAGCATGGTCTAATGCTCTTTTTGATTCCCCACAATTACGAAATAGCTGATCAGAAATTGACCAGTGGTCTACCAATTGACCATAATGCATGGGTTAATAATCAACAGCTCAGAAGGAACAAGTTACAACTAATTATCATTAATTCAAATTTGCATTAGATACATTTTATATCAAAATTGTGATGTGTCCAATCATGGCTGTTCATTTTGGCTGAAGTTAATTTTGGCTGACATCTATTGTCCATAGGCGGACAAGGAAAGAAGAATATTTGTTTCAGGGTAAAGGGCGTACAAGTTAAGTGAGATATTTAAAGGAGTGGTTTTACCAGTTCTGCTTGCCCAGTAAGTAGGGATTCAAACGCTCTTCTTCAGAGGCCTAGCACATCACTCTCTCCACTGCATCACACTGGGAATCTGCAAATAATGAGTTCCTTGTAATTAATTCATTTTTAATCACCGTATTTTCTGTTCATAAGATGCCACCATATATAAGACGCCCCCACTTTTCTAATCCAAAATTAAGAAATCTAAGTGGGGCTTAGCAAGGGTGGGGGGAAAGGGATCAAAGCGCTGCAGGTTCGCTTTGATCCCTGCTTTCCCCTCCACTTGTTTTTGTTCTCTCCTCAGATTACTTCCATGTATAAGATGACTCTCAATTTTTAGTCTAAAGATTTTAGACAAAAGTATAATCTTATACACGGAAAAATACGGTAGCTAAACTATATATCACAAAGGTGACGTGTATAAACGTGGCTGTTAACTTTGGCTGAAGTTTTCCTGGGACTTTATTTTGCTTTAGGAAAATGTTTAGATCTTTACCCCTTCATGTACATCTAAACAGTTTTTCTGTAAAATTAAATCTACCTATTGGTCAATATGGTTGGATCCTGTGTACCCTCAATGCAAAAAAAAAAAAAAAAGATTTATACTAGTCCTACCCAACATTCATTTGTTTATAATTAAGAGTATGGGAAATCAAGCTTCATTTTTTTTGTTTAACTTTGTATCACAGACAAGAGACTCATAGCATTCTGAAGTTCCAAATTGTAACAAAAATGACTAGTTACAGTTGAATAATGAGAGTTACTTTCAAAAATATAAATATAACTGTAAGTAACTGCTTGTGGGACCTTGGACCAAGAATGGTAACGTATTACAGTCTCTCTGTATTTCATTAAAAAAGTCTTTGGATTCCTAAAAACCAAATTATTAACTTTACACGCTACTGTAGATTTTTTAAAATAAAGAACATATTATTTTGTATTCAGTTTCTTCTTGTAATTATCTGATTTGCTTAATTTTTTAAAAAGTCCATTAACTCCTTAATGAATTAATTCCTTCTTTGCTCAATACTGTGAAGATTCCTGCAAATTATGACATTACCATGTTGAGCGGCTTTTGCATTTTGAACTCCTGGTCTAATAGGGTGAGATTTGTAGCTGCTCAGAATTCCGCCCCCGCTCCCCAATATTTTGGATTGTCCTCACTGATTTTGCAAGAGGCAGAGAGATATGACTGAGAAGTCAAAGAGAAGGAGAAATCAGCTTTATTGAAGGTATGTTGTGAGATAAGATGCAACTTTGTGACTATTGGATTCACCCCACCGCCAGGTACTAACTGGATATTGGAGATCTTGGGCTTAATCTGGCATGATGGAGACCCCTCGTGGGTTCAGAGTACATTCATGTTTGATCGGTCACCATGGATTGAGTCTGAGTCCGGTCTGAAAGCTGCCTTGAACTATCCTCCCCCCAGGTTCCTGACGACTCACCTGCCATTCCAGCTTTTCCCCAAGTCCTTTCTGCATTCCATGTGCAAGGTAAGCAAGAATTAAGCCATCAGTCAAGACCACCTTTAGGCCTTGTTGGTTTGTGAACGCTAACCTAGGGAATTCTAGGCTGGACATATTCCATTTATGGGTATATACAGTGTTGTGTACTGGCCATATAGCTCATCGAACTGAGGGTTCAATTGTCCGTTGTGGCTCATAGAAGAAGAGGCCGTCTTATTACTCTTTGGTCTAAGTAATTGTGCAGTTTAGTTGTACAAGCAGAGCTACTTGCAAACCAGCTTACACAATTGCTTGTGGAACCACTTGAATAATGGAGGTTAGCACTAGTGTGGGTCAGCACTAGTGGGGTTTTCACTGCAGTTGCATCATAGTCAATACAGCCCACAATGGTTTAACCCACGAGTGGAGGACGCTGCCCTATCTAAATATAACTTTTTCTCTCCTACAGATTATCTACATCATGCGAAACCCCAAGGACGTGCTGGTCTCACATTATCACTTTGCAAAGTGTTGTAAATTCTATGAGGAACCTGGGACCATGGAAGAGCTGATGGAAAAGTTCTTGAATGGGAATGGTATGAAAAAAAGGCAGTTCCTTGGTCTTCTTCGATTGGGAAAAAAAACCTCTATGCACTACACTCTATTAGATATTTATGTACAACTATAGCCAATAAGTTGAGTTCCTTTTTCAAACTGGAAAGAATAGCTTGTTACTTAATTTATCTCCTTTATTTCTTGTACCGGTTTTCAGGATCACAATCTATTTGTTTCGTTGTGCTTTCCTGACTAGTGAGGCAGAAGACACAGCAGTCAATGGTGGCTGGTCGTAGGGAGAGAGAGCAAAAGTATATGTTTGTGTATGCATACACACAATCACACATAGACAGACAACTAAGCAATCAGACAGAGAAAGGCAGTTTTTCACTTGTGGTGCAATTATATGGCAAGAAAGCTGCATGTCTGATCAAACTGGTAGCGGTCACCTTGCGGGGAAATACCTCTCTTAAAGCAAATCTTCCATCCCTCAATGGAATCACCCACGCCTGGCCACTCAAGATAATATCTCTACTGTTGGTTCCACAAGGTCCAACATGAGCACAGATCAGGGTTAGGCTAAATCACTATTCGCTGCATGTCATGTGATCAACAGGAAACAAATCAGACTGGAGCATGTCACAAGGGTTTCAAAATATGAACTATATTGCCTGTGATCACACCATCAGACTCATTTCTATCTCTACCCCATTCATTCCCTGCATATACTCTCTTCCCCAAATTAGAAATGTTCCTTCTTGACCCCATTTCCCTCTGTTTTTCTTTTCAAGGCTGAGTAGCTCTCCCTTTCTCTCACAGTCATTATTTCATTACAGTGGGGTCTCTACTTAAGAACTTAATCCATATTGGAAGGTGGTTCTCAAGTTGAAAAGTTCTTATGTTGAATCTGCATTTCCCATAGGAATGCATTGAAAACCATTTAATCCGTATCTGCTCTTTTCCGTCCATAGAAACTACAGTGGAACCTCTACTTAAGAACTTAATCCGTTTTGGAATGGTGTTCTTAAGTTGAAACGTTCTTAAGTTGAAGCAAAATTTCCCATAGGAATGGACTGAAAACCAATTAATCCGTTCTGGCTGTTTTTTTGTTATGTAGAGGTGCGTTCGTACATTGAAGCATTAGTTCCCATAGGAACTAATGCAAAGCTGGTTAATACGTACTCTACCACTAGGGGGAGAATTTTTTTTTAACCTAAGATGACCTAAGGTTAAAAAAAGAGCAGGAAAGGTTTTTTTTCCTGTTCTTATCTTGGATTTCTGTTCTCAAGTAGAAGCAAAATTTAGCAAATGGAGCTGTTCTTAAGTTGGATTGTTCTTAAGTAGAGACGTTCTTAAGTAGAGACCCCACTGTACTTTTTTCTTTCCCCCTCTTTCCCTTTCCCTCTCCGGTGTACTCAGGGCCCAACCAGACAGCACAGTGAACACAGAAGTTTCCATAGAACTTCCTCAGGAAGGAAAATATTGTCTGTTTTAATACTCTGAGCTTTTAACAATCCCACAGTTCACAAATTAGCCTTGTCATGTTTCATAACTGCTCACTGGGAAATGAGCAGGGCATTGCTTTCAGCCTGGTTTCTCAGTCAGAGTAGCTCTAAAGATTTCTGTGCCAGGAGGGAAGACATTTGTAAGGAGAGGGAATATGTGTTTGTTGTATCATGTGTTCTGGCTCTCAAAGTAAGTGTGGTGATTCTGGGAGTTCAGAAGGAGGGGCACATGAGTGGAACCCTCATCTGCCAGCTCTGATAAGGAGGGAAGAAGAAGCAGGTTGGTTGGAAAAATAATAATTTTATTATTGTCTGCCCTGGGGTCAATTCCACCTTATATGGTTCTTTCCTAGATTTTCTGGTAGCCAGGACTTTGCAGTAGCTTACTAATTTCTTCTTCAGCTGGTGCCCTGGCATTGTGTAGCTACACAGTGTAGGCTACATTGGCTGGCAGATACACAATGGGAAATCAGATTCCCAACATTGAGCTCTGCAGACAGATACCTAACTCAGTAGGGGTACCTAATTTTCTTTCCACCCGTACGTGAAAAATTTCAGAAGCGTTTTCACACATTTTTCACCTTCTAGTGTGGAGACTTTTCTTCTTACATATATATCAAGAGGCATGACAAGATGCTTCAGGAAAATGTTTTATTTCTGCTAGCGAGCAGAGATAGTCAATATATACATTACACAACAGCAATGTGTTTAAGGAGAGCCCAAAAGCAAAGTTGTAAACATAGCTTATATGGGAAGACACACAAAGGGTCATAAATGACTAATTTAAATTGGTAATTGTTTGAAACTCTTTCTCCCAGGATATATCCTAAAGGAAAACATTCCTTTGGCATCTGGTTATCTTTCTATATGATAGAACAAGAAAAGGCTGTGTGGTTCCCAAGATAACACAAATGTAATGAAAGAGTGAGTGAGTTCTAAACTACCGGAAAGACTTGTGTGATAAGGAGCAGCGAAATGATGGACCTGCTTTCTGAAGACCCAATGAAGAAAACTAAGAAAGAATAAGTAATGAGTCAAATGCCAACTCCCCACCAACTACCTACCATAAATCTTCAAACCAACTCTGCATTGATGACCAGTTAAATTCTGGAAATGTGAGAACAGAATCTGTTCTCTTGCTGAGAACAGATTTGGCCTAGTAGAGCAGCTGGAAGAAGTAAACTCTCTCAATTCCTTTGTTGTATAGTCACCCAAAGAGCAAGAGAAAAGGAGAAGAGGTGTTATTTTCCAGCTTGAAGGCCATTGTAGAATCCAACTCCTCCAATTGTACAGCCAATTGTACCAATGAATTCATGATGGATAGTTAAATTTCATACAGTTAGTACATCATTAGAAGTGGAGCTCCCTCAGGAGACAAAAGGCATTGACTGTCCCAGCTTGTTTATGATTTCTTCCTTCAGTTTGTATGTAAAAATAAGCTTTGTTTTCAAGTTTATTTGCCCAGGCATGGAGCTTCCAAGCAAGTGCATGCAGAGAGAAAATGCTTCTCAATTATTTATTTATTTATTTATTTATTCTATTTATATCCCGCCTATCTGGTCATCTTAAACAATACACAAAACATAAGTCTTGTATTAATCCATGGCACATTCGACACAAATCCCAGCTCTTCCCATTTCAGCAAGAATAATATTGAGCATGGCTACCTACTGTCTCGTATTATAAGCAGCATACTTTGGGTGCCAAAAAATATCAAAGATTAATTGCCATTATTCTTACGTGCACAGCATTAGAAATTATCTCTATGACAGACATGTAAATTTAAAAGTCTCAAGTCCACTGTGTTCCATGAAGCTACTCTGGATTTACTGCACCTCCTCAAGTCAGCTCTGAATCAGTTCCAAGACATATTGCTTTCAGCTAAATGTGCAGGGCTCTCATTGAAATATTTCCTGACACAGTATACTTAGCGACAGAGGAATAATTACAGCTCGGTGGTAATTTATGTGTAAAGACAAACAGAGCATCTTCGGTCCAGGCAAATCTCCCAATGCGCATGTATTATGCAAAGCGGTTCTATAAAATGCTCCAGCAACAAATCTTACATTTTCCCATCAAGTGGTCAAATAAATGGATGCCCTCAGAGACAAAGGATGAATCTTGTGGTCAGAATGTTCCTCTGTATTTTTTCTCTGTTCTGCTTCTCTTTGACAAGGCAGCCTCAACACTCACTGTTGCAGCTGTGAAGTAATGATTTATATGTTTGGGAGGCTTAAAAGTTTTAGTGTGGAAAATCCTGTCCACTGGGGTTGTCTTGATCAGTTGACTGATTTACAGTAGATATAGTATCTTTCTGCTGTAGCCTGTATTTCTCTGTTTTTTACCATGATCCACACTAGGGCTGTATAACCAAGAACTATGTGCAATGAAGCCATCAAAAAAGCAACAATATAAGGGGGGGGGGGCTGAATAGGCATGGGGCTAGAAGGTCACTCTTTATGCACTAATTCAATTACAGAGTTTTATAGCCTGCCTGATAAGCTGAAGGATAGGAAAACTCTCAAGTGGGAAATGAAGACAAAAATCATGTAGATCAGCAGAGGAAAGGTTGTAAAATTATAATTCTCGTAAGTCAAAATTTACTTGATGGCGGACAATTATATTATTCCAGCTCGTTCCAGCTCGTTCTAGGACTACTCTATTTCTGAGCTGCAGGAGGAGTTTCAGCAGGACAGCCACACTAAGGATGGATCTGTGCAGACCTCTGATGGATGAAATTCATATGTTTGGTCAGGGAGATTAGGACTGTATCCTGAAGTTCACCTTCCTCCGAATTAGGGAAACTGGAATTCTGGGATAAGACTCCCCATCTGCCAAGTGTCACATCCCTTGCTCAGCTCCTTATATTCCACCTTTGTCTTGGCTTGGCTTTTCCAGTGGTTTATGGTTCCTGGTTCGACCATGTGAAAGGTTGGATGAAGCTGAAGGAGAGACCCAACTTCTTCTTAATCACCTATGAGGAGCTCCAGAAGGTCTGTTTAACCATTTTCCTGTGTTCATACATCTCCTATTATTTAACCTTATGAGATTTCCAAAAATCAAAGACTTTAGAGGTTAGACCAAACATTCTTTGGTGCTTTCAAGGTCCTTTCTTCTCTTCCAAGTCAAGATGTAAAAAAACAAAAAGGTCAAAAGGGCAAAGAACCTCTAGTCAAATGCAAACCAACTCATCCTTTGGTCACTCTAGACTCAGTCTGTGCTCCGGTCTGAGTTTCTGAACCTGATTCAAGGGCTTAGTCCTCTTCAGCTCATTGCCAGGAGTTGGGTTGGCTGAGACATGATGGCACACCGTACTTTTGCCAGGCAGAGGGTTTCCAAGGGTTCTGTTGTCCATTTGGCTTGGCTGAATGGCAGATAAGGGAATATTGGGTTTCTCTGAACTT